CTCAGCCCCAGGCAACCAGCAATCCAATTTCTGTATGGGCCATTTGTATTTTTTCTGTATATTTTTCTGTACTAAGGGAAAAAAATGTAATGGAAATGTTGAAAATACGCAGAGGGAGGCAAGGTTTGGCCACTCTGAGGAATCCCTCTTACTAGCTGTAAAGTTGGTAGGTTAGGGGCATGTATGTGTAAGGGGCAGTGCAAAATTGGTAAGTAAGGGGCGGGTGTGTGTGTGTGTGTGTGTGAAAGTGGCAATGTTTTCAAGAGGGGAGACGGAGAAAACTATTCAGGGGAGGCTGTTTAAAAGAAAGTCAAATATTTAGATAATTTTTTAAAAAAGAAAAATGGAAGTAATTATGTCATGGGAGTATGGATTGTTTTGTTTGCTCATTTGTTTTCTGTCATATGCTTATTTTTATTACAGGAAGAGTTAACTTTTTAAAAAAAAAAAAAGCTGTTTAATGCTTACCTGACTATAGGAGAAACTGACAATAAATATGAGTAGAACAAAAGTTGAGAGTAAGCTGTGTGAGACTTACTCTAAGTTATTACTAACTTCAAAAGATAGAGAATTTACTTTGAGCAAGAGGCCTTAGTTCCCTGTGTGGATGGAAAAATACCTTTGATATCACTTTATAAAGCCTTTTAATTTAAATGTTAATTTAACCTGGGCAAAATTAGGTGATGTGGTGGTGCTATTTTTAGAAAATGCACAAGGAATTGGAGGCTTGCTAAGTGCTTCCATCCATTTCCTGACAGCTAACAGGTGATGCTGAGTGGTCCAGAGCAAACCACAGGAAGGTGTAACTAAGGTTAGTAACAAAGCATCCTGTTTCCCTCACTTGCCTGATGGGAACCACCTGGGGGTCTTATTAAACCTGCAATTTATCAGTCCTTTCCCCAGGCCTTTTGAATCAAGCTCCAGGGGCGGCTTCTGATGAGGCAAGTTTAGAAAAGCAATGAGTGACGGCATTTGCTTTATAGACTTTGCATACTTCTAAGTAGGAAGGTCATAGTGAACTTTTCTTCACCCAAGCAAAGGATAAATCTTTAACTTTTTTGATTGGGAGTTGGGGCCTGGCCTCTCTCAATACACATGTATATATTTATTAGGACTTTTGTATAAGGTACTTGGATTTTAGATTGCTCTGGGATTTCTAGGCATATGTAAGTATGATGGTAATTTTAAGTATCAACCTCTGTTCTTTAACTTTCATGCAGTTTTTATAAGGTTGAGGGAATGCAATGCAGAGCATACTGTGGAACTCAGTTCATTTGTAATACTGGGGATTTAAAGCACTGATGATGGGGAAGGGCTTCAAATTGCCTGGAAATGTGAATGGTGGCAAGTTAGCGTTTTTCTTGTGTGGGACCTGTTTTCTCTGTATAGTCCAGATTTGAATAATTTTGTAGGCTTTGGGTTGTTTATGTTTGCTTGTTTATTCATTTCATAATTTATCTTATGAAGAAATCATTGTGCTATGAGTAAATACAACTAGTTCATCCTGTGTCTTGTCCTCTAAAAGCAAGAAAGATAAAAACATTTTTTAAAGTAGTTGTACTCAAACCGATCCTAAAATTCATGTGGAAATGCGAGGGACCCAGAATAGCCAAAACAATCCTGGAAATGAACAAAGTTGGAGGACTCATACTTTCCAGTTTCAGACTTACTGTAATCAAGACAGTTAAGTGCTCGCATAGAGATAGATACATAGATAAATGGAAAGAATTGAGAGTCCAAAAATGAACCCTTATCATTTATGGCAAACCAATACAGTTCAGTTGGGAAAGAATATTGTTTTCAACAAATAGTATGGAGACAACAGGATTGTACATGCAAAGGAATGAATTTAGACCCTTATCTCACATTGTATTCAAAAATTAATTTAAAAAGGTCATAAACCTAAATGTAAGTGCTAAAAATAAAAATTCCTAGAAGAAAACAGCATAAATTTCTATGACCTTGGGTTAGGCAATGGTTTCTTATACAAGATGCCAAAAGACCAAGCAATGTAAGAAAAAAATGGTAATCCCAGCACTTTGGGAGGCCGAGGCGGGTGGATCACGAGGTCAAGAGATTGAGACCATCCTGGTCAACATGGTGAAACCCCGTCTCTACTAAAAATACAAAACATTAACTGGGCATGGTGGCGCATGCCTGTAATCCCAGCGACTCAGGAGGCTGAGGCAGGAGAATTGCCTGAACCCAGGAGGCGGAGGTTGCGGTGAGCCGAGATTGCGCCATTGCACTCCAGCCTGGGTAACAGGAGTGAAACTCCGTCTCAAAAAAAAAAAAAAAAAAAGAAAAAAATGGTAACTAGGATTTCACTAAAATAAACTGTTGTGCTTCCAGATAGCAAAAAGGCTGGGCATTGTGGCTCATGACTTAAATCCTAATGCTTTGGGTGGCTAAGGGGGGAGGATCACTTGAGCCCAGGAGTGCAAGACCAGAACGGGCAACATAACGAGACCTCATCTCTCAAAAAAAAAAAAATGCATTAGCTGAGTGTGGTGGCGCACGCCTGTAGTCCCAACTACTGGAGAGGCTGAGGTGGGAGTATCGCTTGAGCCTGGGAGTTCAAGGCTAGAGTGAGCCGAGAACATACCACTGCACTTCAACCTGGAGAACAGAGCAAGACCCTGTATCAAAAACAAAAACCAAAAAACCCCACAGAATGGGAGAATATATTTGCAGATGATACGTTTGATAGGAAACCTTTACCCAGAATATGTAATAGATTGACAATTCAGCAATTAAAAAAAGTTTAAAACTTGGCAAATGATTTGAACAGATATTTCTCCAAAAGAGATACACAAATGGTCAAGAGGCACATGGAAAGATGGTTGACATTACCAGTCATAAGAGAAATGCAAGTCAAACCATAGATAGATACCATTTCATACTCACTAGGATGGCTATAATCTGTAAGAGACAGTAACAAGTAATGAGAAGGAAGTGAAGAAATTGGAGCCCTCACACTTTGCTATTGAGTTTCCGCTCCCCACCCCTTCCCACCCCCCGAGAGGCTGGAGGGCAGTGGCACAATCTTGGCTCCTGCAACCTCCACCTCCTAGGTTCAGGCAATGTTCCTTCCCCAGTCTCCTGAGTAGCTGGGATTACAAGCATGTGCCACCACACCTGGCTAATTTTTGTATTTTTACTGGAGGTGGGGTTTCACCATGTTTGCCAGGCTGGTCTCGAACTTCTGATCTTGTGATCCGCCTATCTCAGCCTCCCAAAGTGGTGGGATTACAGGCATGAGCCGCTGCACCCCGCCAAGATTTTAATAATGGTGTGATCACTTTGGAAAACAAATTGGCAGTTCCTCAAAATGTTAAACAGTTAATCATATGACCCAGGAATTCCCCTAGGTATGTTCCCAAGAGAAATACCCATTTGCTGATGAATGGCTAAATAAATGTGGTATAGCCACACAGTTAAATATTATTTGGCAGTAAAGAGGAATGAAATACTGACAATATGATACTATATGGATGAAAATATTATGCTAAGTGAAGCCAGTCATGTGTGATATCATTTATAGGAAATAAGCAGAATAAATGTGTAATATTAGGCCATGCACGGTGGCTCACGTCTGTACTCCCAGCACTTTGGGAGGCTGAGGCGGATGGATCACCTGAGGTCAGGAGTTCAAGACCAGCCTAGACAATGTGGCAAAACCCTGTCTCTACTAAAAATAGAGAAGAGGCAGGAGAATCGCTTGAACCTGGGAGTCGGAGGTTACAGTTAGCCAAGACCATGGCACTGCACCCCAGCCTGGGTGACAGAGTGAGACTATGTCTCAAAAAAAAAAAAAAAAAAAAAAAAAGCCAGGGTGACAGAGTAAACTATGTCAAAAAAAAAAAAAAAAAATTGTTCTAGGCATTTCCTTTCAGCTTGCAGGGTTTGAGGGAGTGGGTATGGTGTTAATAGGATGGCTAAAGGGTGGGTAGGTTGGATCTTCTGTGTATTCAATTGAGGCTATTAAAGTTGTGAGGAAACATAGTGTTGAAGACAAACGCTGTGACATTATGAAAGGGAGGGAAGCAGAGATAGACGCTCAGGCGTGGGCCAAGTTTGCATCAGGAGGTCCGTTTTTGAATCTTAGCTCCATTACTTAATGTTTACCTGAGCCAAGCTGCCACTCTTTCTGAGACTGAGGTTTTTCAACATAAAATGGGGAGTTGGAAAGGTCAAATAAATTCACTCATGAGAAGATTTGTGTTGTCTGGTTTATTATAAATGTTAACTCCAATGGAGACTTTAGATATTTTATCATTCATATTTTTATGATATAGAACAGCTTAAAACTTCTCTTTGGTGTAAGTATAGTCTATAGAGCCATAAGGTTCTGAATAAATTACTGCAGTCATAGTTTGTGAAATCTGATTATAGCTGATACTGTGGAAATGTAACTCAAATTGTAGTCCAGAAATTCATGCTCAAGGTGGTGCTGTTTCCCCATAAATCTGATAATGTTTTACATTTTATCTCTATTCCAAATCAAGCAAATAACTGGGTATATGTATTTAGGGCCATATCTGCCTTCCGCAGTCCCCAAGTCATCTTCCCTTGTGAGACCCCACCCAAAATCATTTCGTAGAAATGTGTATTTATCCCATATTCACTAGAATACATATGGGAGCTAAGAGTTGAGTATACCAGTGGACCTGTTACATTTCGGAAGACATTTGTTAAAACAATACTTTAGATATTATAGCTTGCTTTTTGTATTTTAGAGTCAGTTTGTTTTTAGGCCAGAAATACTTGAAAAGCTTGTAAGCCCTGGCTTCTAATGGAATAAAGGACCTAATATAACTCTTCTGCAAACGGATTACATTACAAGGGAAAATACTTATTTCGAACTTATTTTTGCTCATAATCTCTATCTGGACTGCCATATTAATCATTTCCTACTTCTTGTCAGAAACCAGACATGCATTTTATAGTTGGGTCATTGTGTGTTTGATGTGAATTGTTTTGTTTTATTTTGTTTTTAGATCCGGGGATTTCTTTCACGGTTTGATAATGTCCTTCCCGTCAGCCTGGCATTTGACAAATGTACAGCTTGTTCTTCCAAAGTAAGTCATTTTGTATTGGAGGGACTTGTTTTTAAAAGCGAGCAAATCAGCATTTGACCACAGCCTCACTAGCTACAGCCACTGAAACCAACTGAGGGCTTTTTGTGGGGGAAGGGTGGGGTCTAAACACTCAGAAAGGACTTTGTTTTCATGGATCTGTATTCATTCTCACAGTGGTTTAAAACCAGCCTGAGAAAATGTATAGTGTAGGGAGACCCAGTTGAATATTTTAACTCTGTATCAGTACTTATGTCATGCTAATTTTGTCTTGAATTTGAACTTTACTGTTCTTTGTTGCTCCCCAGAGGGTTCCCTCCTAGCAGGGACCCTCACAGAGCAATTTTTTAAAGCATACTTTAAGGGTGAGGCAGCCTTGGCTATGAGTCTTCCACAGATCCACATAATTACAAAGAAAAAGTAAACAGAGATTAGGGGCCTGGATGGGGAGCCACTAAAGGGGCCCCTTCAGCTTTGATCTTTCCAGAAGCTCTAAAAATAGACCTGGTATGTTAGCCATCGTAATGGGAAACGGCTGGTATATCTCAAAACTATAGTGATGGCATCCTATGTTTTAATGGGTTTACAGATGCCATCTGAGTGAATTTTACATGCACACTGTATGTGATAGCTGATTTCCTTTCAAGTGTCCCTTTCAGTCTTCTAATGCCCAGTGACTTGACCTGGACTCTTAAGGCTTGTGATTGCTGATAAGTAAAGATTTTCATGTTGAAGTGCTATGCAAAATAATGTTGGTAGTCACCAATCCCCAACTGTGGCTTCTCAGATATAATTTGGGACTGTTTTTCTGTGTAGCCTTCATCTGTCTGCCACTGTGGAAGAAATAGAATTATAGGGACGTTTTTCTCTATTCTGAGTTGACAAGCTTTCTTTGAAAACTGTACTTGGGTTGTATTTTATGGGAAGCATGATCCTGACCAGTTTCTTTGAAAATTCAATGTAAAATTGACAAGCAATGTTGATAAATTTGGTTACATTTAGATGATCAAAAATTTAGACTATTTTATTTTTGCCTCCAAAGTAAACTATGCCCATTTTATCATTATGCATCCCAAGTGCCTATGTTGAGATTTCAAGCTTACCCTTTGTAGTTACCCATGAGCTCATTCTTTCTGTAGTTTCCTTTAAGGTGTATGTGCTCAAGCCAGGGCCTCAAGGATGTCTGTGTGCACCTCCATCTTCAGAAATGCAAGTTTTAGGATTATATACTACATGTTTAGTGGAGCAGTTTTTTCTTCCCCCTTCGAATGGTTGAACTAACTGGTCTCAAAATAACTTGGCAGTATTAATTTTCATACTGAAATCATTTGGGACAGGTACCAGAAGGTTTTCTATGGCTTTATGTTGATCTGCTAGTCAATGAAATAAAGATAATTGGGTTCTCTAAGTGAAATGCAAACACTCATTCTTTCTTGTTCTATTTCTAATTAAATTAGCCTTTGAGATACTGTTTATAAAAGAATCACAAGCATACCAACTAACTGGGTGTTTCTTATATACTTTAAAAGAGAGTAGCTTGGCATTTTTCTTTCACACTTATCGTAAGCTTTAAATTAAATATAGGTATCACTTTTTTGTTACGAAAATTATTTCCTCCTGGTGGTCATTCTGAGAGTCCTGCTTTACATAAACATGCTGGACGATTTAATACAAACTGACTTGGATTTTAACAGCTGTGCTATTCCCATAGCGATAACTTTTCATGTGGTCTGGGTATTAAATTTCTTTTGTGCTGGAAAGGTTGCTTCATTGGTGCACGTATTTCCTTACAGTAGAAATGCAGCATTTACTTACTTGGCTACCTTCTTTATTCGCTTAGGAGATTGTCATTCTCTATTATCTGCAAACCCAACATTAATAACTTTGAAATGACAAATCCAATTACATTTTCATCTTTGTGTATGTGAATTTTTTCTTAATGTATACTTAGCATAATACATTTTATACTGAGTCATGTCATAGTTATTGTTTTAAAAGATTCTTTGGGGCTAAAAATGACTTTTAAAAATTTCTCCTTTGACATTCATGAAGTAAGTTTTTCCTTTGGTAGTTTTCAGTATGTTTTCTTACCTCCCCCCCGCCCCCCGCCCCAGAGACAGATTGGGGAAGTAGAATAAGCTCTGCTGAGCCATAAAGCACTTGTTCATTACCTTACTCATTAAAAACAAAACAAAGCAATATGTATATTGCTCTTACATCTCGCTCTCTGTATATATGTGTGTGTGGACTTTTTTATGTAGCCTGAGGTGGGGAAGAATACAGTGCTCTGCTTCTAAAGCAGGAAAGTTGGAACATTTACCCACAAATCATTTCTTACCCTATATGATCTTAGGTTGGCACATGATGGGGTGAATTGTTCCATCTTAGAGGAAAAATATTGAAGAATTGGGGGGAGAGGTGGGTGGTGAGGAGTCGATTTCATTCCAATTTCTACTGATTGTCTTGTAGAACTTTCTAAACAGATGGTATTTGTCAGTGAAATTTCAAAAGACCTTGTTTGAAGTTTATATGAGTTACTTTTTATTTCTCCAAGGACTTCCAAGCTAACTAGAGTATTATGGCATTACTACCAGAGGGAAAAGTGTAATTTTAAAATCAATATTCCTGAATTTTAATATCAATATTCCTGAAAAAATTTCTCATAGTGCATTAAGTTACTTTGTTATTGTTAGCCTTTCACATAAATATTTTTTGGCAGTAGAGTATTTTTGGGTGACTTGCTATTTGATATAATTTTAAGTGGAGCTCCTGTATACGCTTTAACCACAATCACCCATTGTTAATGTTTCATTCCATGTATATGTGTTCTCCTCCTCCAATCCCTCCCTCCTTCTTCCCTTCCCCCCCCATTTCTTTCTTGAAATTTTGAGAGTATGTTGGAGACATTGTGATCCTTTACAACTCTTGAATGCTTCAATGTAAATCCCAAAGAACAAAGACATTCTCTTACCTAAACACAATACCCTTATCAAATTCAGGCAGTTTAATGTTTGCACAATACTATGTTCTATTCCCCAGGCTGCATATTCAGTGTTGTTATTTGTGCCAGTTAATGTTCATTATAGGTTTTTCCTCCCAGACCAGGGTCCAGTTGAGGATCAAACATTGCGTTTAGTTGTCATGTCTCTCTGGCTTCCTTCAATCTGGAAAAGTTACTTCATCTTTGTCTTTCTTAACTTCAATGTTTTGATATTTTGCCAGTTATTTTTGTAGAATTTCCTGCAATGTGGATTTGTCTGACATTTCCTTATGATTCGATTGAGGTTATGAATTTTTGGTGGGAATACCAAAGAAGTGATGCTGTCTCCTCATGTCAGGAGTTATGTAATATATTATATCCCTTTTGGTGATGCTACTTATCCCCTTTCCATATTTGCAATTGCTTTTTCCAACAGTGAGAAACTTGTGATCTCAGCTCACTGCAACCTCTGTCTTCCAGGTTAAAGCGATTTTCCTGCCTCAGCCTCCCAAGGAGCTGGGATTATAGGCACCCACCACCACACCTGGCTAATTTTTTAGGCTTTCACTCTGTTAGCCAGGCTGTTCTTGAACTGCTGACCTCGTGATCCACCCATCTCAGCCTCCCCAAGTGCTGGGATTACAGGAGTGAGCCACCACACTCAGCCCTGTCCTAGATATATCTACTCACTTACTGAAGTCTAAAACACACGGAAAGTAGTTTAAAAGTTGCTAGCCCATGCTACTACGGAAAATAAACGCAGAACCTACGGTTCCTATTTGTGCACAGTTCTTTTTTACTAGGTAAAATTTACATATGGTAAAATGCATGAATCTTGAAACAACTCTTAAATGTATACACCCATGTAATTCACACTTCTCCCATCAAGATACTAGAGTTTTACCATCACTGCAGAAAGTGCCCAGGTACTCTTTCCCAGGCAATTCTTGGGGAGGGGGAAGTATGTTGAGTATTATGACTATTCCTTAGTTATAAGAAGTAAAGCTAGGCACCTTCAGGTGTTGTTTGTAATAATAGCCTTGTTTCTGGGACCCAGAAGTTGACTAAAACCTTTTTTCAGACCTGCAGAGTCAGGAGCAGGTCTGTGCCAGAGGAGACTGTATGCAGAGTATTCTTGCTGCTGTTGCACAATTCTGTTATTCACAGCCTTTGTGACAGTGCAGGAACAGCCTGTTACGAAGAATCAGCCTCCAAACTTGGTTTGCGTACCATCTGGGACCTGTGCAGATGTAGCAAGATGTGCCCAGAAACCTGATCTTGAGATTTTAATTAGTGATTAGCAACCCTAATATACTCATTGTGGTGTTGACTATGCAATAGGCTCTTCTGTTGATGGGTTATGATTAAACTCCTCAGAGTGACTTGCTATTAGTTTTTTGTGTGTATCTGGGCATATGTCCTGAGGAGTGATAGGGTGAGGGTTGGATAGGAATAATAAATGCCAGCTGGTGACATCAGATGGTGAATCGTACTTTCTTTCGGCCTTTGTCATAGCCAGCCTGCCTATTTATTTTTTGATATTATATAATCCTACCTTTCTTCTATCATATTTTCTTGTTAAGAAGAATGAAAATCCAGGCATGGTGGCTCATGCCTGCAATCCCAGCACTTTGGGGAGCTGAGATAGGCAGATTGCCTGAGGCTAAGAGTTTGAGACCAGCCTGGGCAACATGGCGAAATCCTTCCTGTATAAAAAATTTGGCCAGGCGTGGTGGCACATGGCTGTAGTCCCAGCTGCTTGGGGGGCTGAGGTGAGAGGATCCATTGAACCCAGGAAGTTGAGACTGTAGTGAGCCATGATCATGCCCCAGCACTCTAGCCTGGGTGACAGAGCAAGACCCTGTCATGCCCGTGCCCCCAACTCCCCACCAAAAAAGAGAAGCATGAAATACCAAAAGTAAACTTAGCTACTTAAACTTTTTTTTTATTTTTATTTTTTTTTATTTTTGAGACAGAGTCTTATTCTGTTGCCAGGTGCCAGGCTGGAGTGCAGTGGCGTGAT